CAGAGAGATAGAAAGCAAGAAATCACCTCCCAGGGGGGATGGCCATGCCACAATCCCTTCTCCTCCATTCTCCTCTTGGGATCTTGGGCACGCATGCACACGCGCCCGGAGTGAGTTTAAGCCGCCGGGTCCGGGACTTGAACCACGGTCGACTACGTGGGAGTCCAGCGACATAGCCATTATGCTAACTGCTGGTCCAGGGTCTAGTGTGAAAAAGACTAGCTGTGGACACCGGGGTGGGTAGCCCATCGCTAATAAACTTGGACACGTCTCAGGTTCACATTTGTAGAATGGATGGTAGAACCCATCTTACTGACTCCCAAGAAGGGGTTGCATTGAGCATCACTGTCAGCGCATACTTACGGGCCTGTTAGAAGTTGGAAGTCATAAGGCCCAGGGACATGGAGGCCATACTCACTCACCAATGAAGGTCCCTTCGTGAATGTGGACCTCCTGGTGCTCCTGCCCTTCAGGACCTGGGCTTGTCTGCAGGCTGACCTCAGAGCTGTCATAGCTGTAAGAACTGAACACCATGGTGCAGTTCTGCCAGTCAAAGGGGAAGTACGTGACCTGGATAGAGCGGGGAGTCACTAGGACTGCCAGAGAACTGGACAGAGCTGGGGAGTTTGGAAGGGCACTGGGGATCTGGACACCCGGGAAATATGGGGTGATCAGGGGAGATCACAGGGGAGTGGGGGGTCACAGAGGAATTGAAGGGTTGCAAAAAGTGATATTTGGAAAAGGCTCGCTGAGGAAGACCGGAAGTCAAAGAATGTGTAAGAAAAAATGATGGGCAACGCAAGATCAGGAGGGTAAAGGGAAGATGCGCGACATGGGGAATAAGGCTGGAGGGAGGGGAGTCGCTGGGAAGTCAGGATATCTGAGGAGAGGGGTTTTCAAAAGCTCCTTGAGCTTCCCAGGGCGGAGCCTGGAAACCTGAATGCTGCAGCTGCTCCGATAGATGCCCGGGGGCTGCCAGCGCACGGAACCGTCAGAGGACACCACGACGTTAATGTCCAGAGCGACGTCGAAATTTCCGTCATTGCTACGAGAAAGGGATCCTCTCTTCTAGGATCAGGCCCCGCCTTCCGGAGGCCCGCCCCATCTCCCGGGCTTTGGGATGATCCTACTTGTTCAGCAGAACCACGTCAGGCAGCCACACGAATTCAGTCGTGATGCGGAGTGAGTCGATGCCATCGTGCTCGGCGGGGTCCCAGCTCAGCCTGTAGTCAGTCCACTCCTAGAGATGCAGAGGCTCAGGGACTGTCCGGGGTTGAGGGCCAGGAGGAAACTTGGGACGTGGAAAGGAAGCCCAGGAAGGGGTGCAAGGGGGGGAGCAGGGGGGCATGGGCTGTGGGCAAGGGACCGGGATTTAAGCCCCCGCTCCCCATTCACTCTCTGGGATTCACAGCAGCACTAGGTCCCAATGTTTAATCTATAAAAACGAGGCGGTTGCACCAGCCTCTAAAACAGTGGTTTTCAAACTGGAGTCTCCAAACTTTTAGTGAATGAGGAATCAATTTAGTGGCCCCAAACCAGTGTTTAAAAAACGAGAATGAAAAGTGCAGGGAATGCAGTTCTCATAGTAAAGATAGGAACTGTTTCCTGAAACTTCTGTTTCCGTTATAAATATCTTTTCTGAGATCCTGATGCAAAAAATAGTCTTACTGGGCCTGACATTCGAGGAAATACTAAAGGCGGTAGAACGCTCTTTCCCACCCCAAGTGGTCTCCGTACCAGGTCTAAGTACACCTTTGTGCTCAACTCTTCATCTTTCTCGTTCTAGAAGGGAAAAATGTAAGGGTAGAGGTGAAGTGGGTGGACCCAAATGAGAGGGCTCGGTAGATCATCCGCTCCCTGGAAACTCCGCCCGCTTATTCTTCTGAGCTACGTTTGGCTCCCAGCCCCACATCATAGAAGCTACGTCAGTTTAAGCCCCGCCTCTATTCAAAAATCACCCTTTCCTGCTGTCCACAAGTCTAGCCGTGAGCCCACCCCCGCCTAGTCCTCCGCCAGGTTCAGCCCCGGGCCCCGCCCACATCTCCTAATCCACTCGGCCCTGAACTACCGCGGGCCGCTGTTTATGGACCCAGATGAGCACCAAGCCCCGCCCACCCTGCAATAACCTTATGTGGCCCCGCCCTAAGGCCCGCCCCCAGGCTAGTTTATCGGCCTCAGCTCCACTCCAAGATCCGCCCACAGGCCAGTTCACCGCGGCCTGGCCAACAGGCACTCCCATGGCTTGTCCATTGGTCAGGTTTCCATCCAATCTCCGCTCCAGGGCTGTCCATCTCTCAGCCCGGCCTCACCCCAGGCCCCACCCAAGTCTGTCCAACGGTCCAGACTTGCCTAACGACACGCCCCCCA